ACACAGGCTGAACTCTCTTGTTCATATAGACACAAAGGTTAAACTTATCCACACAGGCTGAATGCACTCTCATATATAGCCACACAGGCTAAATTCAACTGCTTCCTCTGTCATACAGACTCTCACAAAAACTCTCCACACTCCTCTGTTCAAGAACACAGAATCACTTCATAGACACCCCTCCTCCCACACTCTCAGTCATCAGCCAATCACATCACACTTGTCTCCCTCTATCAGTCTCCTTACATTACTGCAGTCAAACTAAACAGTTAAAGAAACACACACACCAAAAATGGAATCATTACAGGCACCCTAGCTCAGCTGGTGATTCTCGATTTCCCAGGTGACGTCGACGACGGTTTCTTGTCCGATGAAGATATTGTGTCCAGAACCGAGTTTCCCGAGAGTTGGCTGTGGCAAGTGGAACGTCTGAATGCACCTCCCAATGATGAGGGGTACTTGCCTTTTTTGTCTTCTGCAGTGCGGCATCGTTTGCATCGGTCCCGCAGTCATTCCCTATCCACAGGGGAGGATGCTGAGAACTATAGTGGAGGGGTGGGGGAGAAGGCAGCCTGGGGGCTTTGTAGAAAGCTTTCAGCACTTGAGTATTCCCTCAAGCTCCACTTCCCAGGATTCTTTGGGGGAATACTATGGTGGATAACGGGATATGAAAATGACAGCAATCTGCAGTGGTAGATTCAGCCTCCCGTTTGTCAAACAAGATGCTCATTCTTACATACAAAACCATTCACGAGCTGGGACCCACACATTCTTCCCCATATGAGCTCATGTGCCAGTTAAGACCTTCCCGCCTGCTGGGCGAGCTATCTTTTAAGAACATAAGAGAAGCCAATGTTGGATCAGGTCAATGGCCCATCCATTCCAACACTCTGTGTCACACACTGGCCAGAAATACCAGGTGCCCTCAGGAGGTCCAGCAGTGGGGCCAGGACACTAGGAGCCCTCCCACTGGTGCCCCCTCCCCAAGCACCAAGGATACAGAGTAAGAGACGCCAATGTTGGATCAGGCCAATGGCCCATCCAGTCCAACACTCTGTGTCACACGGTGGCCAAAAACGCCAGGTGCCCTCAGGAGGTCCAGGCGTGGGGCTAGCAGCATCCAGCAGCAATGGCCATAACCTGGGCTTTCTTGCTGGTGGCTTCCATTTATCAAATTTTGATTTTTTAAAAATTTTCATTTATTTATTAAAACATGTATAGCCCACCTTTCCTTGTGGTTCAAGGTAGCTTACAATAATAGTTAAAGCGTTTTCAGCTAAAGCCAAAAATAAAATAGTGAACCACCAATGTATTCCCCCTCATCCCTTAAAAGATACCAGCCATCCAGAACCTAGGTTGTGGCCTATAGTTGATTTTTTTTTTTTAACCAGGTCTAGGGTTGGCTGCTCTGGATTGGGAAATTACTGGAGATTTGGGAGAGGGGCCTGGGGTGGGCGGAGTTTGAGAAGAGGAGGCTGCTCCGCAGGGATGTGATGCCACAGAGTCCGTCCTCCAAAGCAGTCATTTCCCGGAGATTGGTTATAATTCCAGGAGGTCTCCAGGCTCCATCTGGAGGTTGGTAACCCTAACTACGGGCTTTTCTGCATTCTCTTTTCCCTTGCTTGAAAGTTCCTGTTTCCTGGGGGGGGGGGATGGGGGTGTATGTTCCACATGTCTTTTGTTCTTTCTGTTGATCAGTTCCATGTTATACTGATTTATGTTGGGCATAAAAACCTGCAGTTTGCCTCTGCAAGGAGATATACACCAGACAGAAAACATCATAATATCAAAGGAAGCAGAGCCAGCCAGGGCCGGCTCGCTCACTAGGCAAACTAGGCATTCACCTAGAGCGCGCCGGCCCTTAGGGGTGCCAAACTGCACCCCCGCCAAAAGCCTCCTCCTCCTCTCCTCCCCGAGTGTCGCCGCCGCCGGTCAGATTAAAGTTTTGTATTTCGCACCTCTACTTCACACTGCCCGATGGTGCTCGCATGGGGATGGGGAAAGCAGGGAAGCCCACAGCATAGCAGGGAAGACATCAGAATTGGGCTCGGTTGTCCTCGATGTTCTGGGAAGGGAGGGGGGAATCGTTCATCTTCCTCCCCTTTTCTGCAGCAGCCTCGTCTCTCATCCCAGCTCGAGACGGCACCTCTTTGTACTCTGGACGCTTTGTGCTTTGGATGGGTATGACGGGGCACCTTCACTTTGTATCTAGGATCTCATCGAAGACACTGTCGGTTTTCCTGAAAGATTCCATCACAACCTGGGAAGTGCTGGCCGTGAGCATTTCGGAGACTAAAGGTAAGGGATCTTATTCACCAGGCATCGGTGTGTGTGTGTGTGTGTGGCTGAGCAAACAATCATGAGCTTACAGTCTGCTTTGGAAAACGCAGAGGAGTCGTTGAGGCGTAACCTTGTTTCTTCCTTCCCCCCCATTCTTCTCATTCCAGGGGTCTGCGTGGCTGATCCTTATGAGATCGTAGTGATGAAGGACTTCTTCATCGACCTGCGGGTGCCTTACTCGGTAGTGAGAAACGAGCAGGTGGAGATCCGGGCTGTCCTCTACAACTATCGCGAACAACCAATCACGGTGAGCTTTGGGATTTTGGTGTGTGAGGGGGGCCCATTCAGCACGGAGGGAGCTTCTGCCTCTTAAGAGCTGTGCCATGAGACCATCTTCAGAGGTATGGCAAGGAATCGAGCGTTAGTCACAGTTGTGTCCTTTCCTTCTGAACACTAAGTTTAGTTTTACAGTAAAAATGGAGGAGATCAGGGCCCTGTGGGACTTTT